GGGATCTTCCCGGACCGGGGCACAAACCCGTGTCCCCTGCATTGGCAGGCGGACTCTCAACCACTGCGCCACCAGGGAAGCCCTCTGCTTTCTCTTTTAATGTGACCTTGGCCCCCTTTTCCTAGTCTCGTTACTCAGTCTCCGGGATTGCACCATGAGAAACATGCACAATTCCCATATTCCTGCCATTCTCAGAAGTTTGATGAGCACCTCGTCTGAGATAACCAGTAGCCATCTCGAATACCGCCACCATCTTCCCCCCACACTTGGACTTTCTCGGTCTCTTCAGTCTCAGTGGCACACCCACTCCCCAAGGCGTCCCCCCCTTTCCTGTCCTCACGGTGCTGGGCTTGGCCCCGGACCGGGGCTCCGTGGGCTGCTTCACCGGCGTGGAGTCCGTGACCCAGGTGGCCGCCGCGCGCCTAAGCTCCTCGGGCTGCACCGGGCTGATGGTGACGAAGTCGCGGGGCCGCGGGCCAAGCAGCTGCGTGCGGGCGGAGGCCGGCCCGGGACCCGGGGCCGCGGCCAGCTTGAGGCGCAGAGTGCGCAGGAAGCGGCGCAGGCGGTCAGGGGGGCAGTCGGAGAGCAGCAGCTGCACGGCGCCGGTCCGGGGAGCGCCGTCGGCGGGAAGCCGCAGAGTGCTGCGCCCGGACGCGGCGAAGCGCGTGAAGAGGCGCGCGGCGCGCAGGGGAAAGCACCGCGGCCGCTCCGCGGGCCCGGGCGCCTGCAGCCTCAGCATCAACTCGCGGCGCTCGTTACGACCCAGTCTCAGCTCCGCGGTGCGTAGGGCCTGGCGCCTTCGCGGCTGCCCGCCCGGGCTCAACTCCTCCACAGCAACACGGCACCGCAGCTCCGCGTCCGCGCATTCCGCTGCCACTGCCTGGGTGCCCGACAGCATCGCCACCAGCTCTGCAGGTCTGCAAAAAGACCGGAGCGCAGGGGTCATCACAGGTGGTATAGAGGTCAGGACGGGGAGCAGGGTCATGGCCACAAAGGGTCCCGGGGCTGTCACTGGTAACACAAGGAGTTCACGGAAAAGGTAAAAGGGTCCTGGGGCGAACCGGAAATTCTCTTAGAAATTTCTCTCCTACACAATAATTTCCAGAGCGGCGGATGGGCAGTGTCAAGTACACCCAGGGTTGGGGAACCTCGCCTGTCCGACAAGGGCCACAGAAGAAGGGATCTCCTGAGCAGAAAAGAAGACTGCTTCCAAGAGACTCAGGGCGGGCACGAGAATCCCGAGTCTCCCCCCGCCGCCCCAGGAAGCAGGGGACTCTCACGTGTGGAGGTAAGCAAGGGACTGACATGTAATCAGCGCCTTCTGTCTTCCAGGTACGTTCACTGGTTTATATGCAGCCAAGCAGGTCTCACTATTCCCCGTGTACAGAAGTGGAAAACAGGCTGAGAGAGGCCACAACGGCTGGTGGGAGTCAGGGCTTGTGTGATTCTGAAGCCCCGGCGCTTCCCATCTCCAAGGTGGGATGGGGTAGAAAATATTTGGCTAGGGAAATCGCGGAGGGACCTTGGCGTCCGGGTTTCCGTTCACCCTCCGTCTGACCCACTCGTACGCACCCTCCCGGCAGGGACCCCTTGAAGAGGCAGGCGCTCTGCCTCCCACCTCTAGGATCGGGTGAACACTCACTTGCGCCAGCACTCGGGCGAACAAGCTGAACAAAGTCGGCATGCAGTCAAAAGTAGGACACTAGAAACTTTCAAATACTGGGTGTAGAGAATCACCCTATCACCGGCCGGATCTTTAAATTTTCCAGCCAATCAGAGACAGCGGGCGTGACAACGGGAGTGTCTTTCTTTGGGTTTCAACTCGCGGGGCTTGGGCTGTACCAATAGCAAGCCGGAGGAAGGAGGCTTATTGTGGTGGCGGAGCATACCAAGTCGCGCGGACTAGTGGGTGTGGTGGGAGGGGGCGGGGACTGCAGCGGGGCCGCGCGTGGTGTTGTGTCACCAATCGCGTCTCTGAAGGTTTATTTTCAGAACCATACCTCCAACGCACACTCCCTCCTCTCTAGCCCTCGCACTAAGGCTGAACTTGGCCTTGCGGAAGAGCTGCCTCTGATCCCTCTCATCTCTGTTTACACTCACAGGACCTTTGCCCATTTCTGGGCGGACCCCCCCAAACCCTCGCGCGCGCGCGCACACACACACACACACACACACACACACACATGGCCTACTGCTCTCGCTGCCCACCCCGCCCCCAACAGCTTTTTACACACTTATCTGTTTCTGTAACCATCATTTTACGCATTTGTCTTTCCCATGTGTCTGAGGCCCGTCAGTGAGGAACTCTTGAGACCTGTGGCCAGGTGCTCAGAGAGTACAAGGGAAGTGTGTGGGCCACTGTCTTCAGGGAATTCGCATCTCTCTCATTGAACTGAATGCTTAGGGAATTCATTTTTAATTATCTTTTTCCTCCCTCATTAAATCTTGGAATGACATAGCTAGAAGGCATCTTACAGGTGAGTCAGCCTGCTCATTTATTGAATTGCCCCCATTTTTCAAATGAGGAAACCAAGGCTCCAAGAAGTTTTACCAGATGTCACATAGCTTGTAGATAGCAAAACAAAGCCTTGAACCCAAGTCTAAGCCTGCTAGTTTAACTGCTACACCACACTGCTCCCAGGTGACTGGTCTAACTTGGTGAAGGGAGTCCAGCCCTGGACTGGAATCTCAGCTCCTGACAGCCAGTGCATTGCCCCAGGCCTGCCAGTCAGATGTTACTCTAAGCAAGTTTCCTTAATGTCTCAAGCCTTTGTTTCCTCATATTTAAAAATGGAGAAAGATGAAGATGTGATGATTGCACAACTCTGTGACTATACTAAAAAGCATTAAATTATTTGCTTTAAATTGTATGGTATGTGAATTATATCTCAATAAAACTGTTAGGAAAAAATCATGAGAAATATTTTTCCTCTTAAGTGTTGTCTTGACATATGAGTACTAGTGGCACAGGAAAATTTTTAATGTCACTGTGGTAGGCAGAATAATGACCCCCCGCCCCACCCCCCCACAAACTGCAAAGATGTCTGCATCCTAATCCCCAGATTCCTTTTGTGAATATGTTACCTTACATGGCAAAAGGGACTTTGCAGATGTGATAAATTAAGGATCTTGAGATGGGGAGATTACCCTGGGTTGTCTGGGTAGGCCCAACTAGGATTCTTATAAGGGAGGCTAGAGAGTCAGAGAAGGAGATGTAATGAGGAGGAAGCAGAAGTGTGTGTGTGTGTGTGTGTGTGTGTGTGTGTGTGTGTGTGTATGTGTATATTTAAGAGGGAGAGACAGACAGAGGGAGAAAGATTATTTGAAGATGTTACTGCCGGCCTAGAAAAGGGAAGAAAGGACCATGAGACAAGCCATAGAATACAGGAGGTTTCTAGAAGCTGGAAAAGGTGAGGAAGTGGGTATCCCCCTCTAGATTCTCCAGAAGGAACACAGCTCTTGATTTTAGTCTAGTGAAACACATTTTAGGCCTCCAGAACTGTAAGATAATAAATTTGTGTTGTTTTAAGCCACTAAATATGTGATAATTTGTTACAGCGGCTATAGCAGTAAGAAACAAATACAATCATAAGCTAGAAAGCAAAAGCTGGGATTATGAACCCATGTCTGTCTATTTCCAAAGCCTGTGTTCTCTCTTCCCACTACCCTCTGCTCAGTGGGCCTAGCACACTCACACTGTCGGCTACCTTCTCGCTTCTCTCTGTGTAGTACCCCAGACCAGTTCTAGAGAAAGCATGGAGGCTTCTACATGAATTTTCCCCTAACATTTTCTTTCTTTTGGCTTTCAATTTTTTTTTTTTTTTTTTTTTTGGCCTCGCCACTCGGCTTGCGGGATGTTAGCTCCCGAGCAGGGATCGAAACCCACCCCCTGCAGTGAAAACCCCGAGTCCTAACCCCTGGACCGCCAGGGAATTCCCTCAAGTGTTTTTTTTTTTCCTGGTACGCGGGCCTCTCACTGTTGTGGCCTTTCCCGTTGTGGAGCACAGGCTCCAGACGCGCAGGCTCAGCGGCCATGGCTCACGGGCCCAGCCGCTCCGGTGGGCGGCATGTGGGATCCTCCCGGACCGGGGCACGAACCCGCGTCCCCTGCATCGGCAGGTGGACCCTCAACCACTGCGCCACCAGGGAAGCCCCCAAGGTTCTTTTAATTGTAAAATATACATAACGTAAAATTTACCCCGTTGACTATTTTTACGTGTACAATTCATTAAGTACATTCAAATGTTGTATAACCATCACCTCTATTTCTAGAAAAGTTTCATTATTCTGAAACAGAAACATTGTACCCATTAGACAATGGTTAGACAACCATTAGACAACTCCCCATTCCTCTCTCCTCTCAGCCCCTGGTACCCCAAACATTTTATTCTGAAAATATTCCAACATATACAGAAAGATAGAAAAACTTTCACAGTGAACACGATATACCTACCACCAAGATTCTACAATTAATATTTTGCTGTATTTGTTTTAAAACATCTAACCATCTATCCATCTCCCCATTCATCAATCCATTTTTTAAAACATCTTTATTGCAGTATAATTGCTTTACAATGTGTGTTAGTTTCTGCTTTATAACAAAGCGAATCAGCTATAAATATACATATATCTCCATATCTCCTCCCTCTTGCGTCTCCCTCCCACCCTGCCTATCCCACCCCTCTAGGTGGTCACAAAGCACCGAGCGTCAATCCATTTTTTTGTTATTCATTTCAAAGTTGCAGACAACAGTTCATTTCACGTCTAAACACTTCAACATGCATAGAATTAACTAGAGTTTATGCTTATCTTTAAAAAAAAAAAAAGAATTTATTTATTTATTTGGCTGCACCAGGTCTTAGTTGCAGCAGGCGGGTTGTAGTTCCCTGACCAGGCGTCCAACCCTGGCCCCCTGCATTGGGAGTGCAGTCTTAACCACTGGACCACTAGGGAAGTCCCTATGCTTACCTTTTTTTTTCTTCTTAAATAAATTTATTTATTTATTTTTGGCTGCATTGGGTCTTCGTTGTTGGGTCTTTGTTGCTGCCCGTGGGCTTTCTCTAGGTGCAGCGAGCGGGGGATACTCTTCATTGCGGTGCCCGGGCTTCTCATTGCGGTGGCTTCTCTTGTTGCAGAGCTTGGGCTCTAGGCACGTGGACTTCAGTAGTTGTGGCACGCGGGCTCAGTAGTTGTGGCTCGCGGGCTCTAGAGCGTAGGCTCAGTAGTTGTGGCACATGGGCTCAGTTGCTCCGTGGCATGTGGGATCTTCCCGGACCAGAGCTCAAACCTGTGTCCCCTGCATTGGCAGGCGCATTCTTAACCACTGAGCCACCAGGGACGTCCCAGTTGGTTCCTTTTTAATGCTGAGTAATACTGCATTGTATGGATATACTACAGTTTACCCATTTTCCTATTGATGGAGATCTGGGCTTTCTGGGATTTATGCTTTAATTTCTCTTGAATAAATTCCTAGGTGAGAAATTGCTGGTCGTGGAGTTTATAATTTAGTTTTATATGAAGCTGCAGGAGCTTTTTCCAAAGTGGTTTTCTGCCCACCAGGTTAACAGTGAGTCTTTGGAGCGATAGGAGTCGGAGGAAAGCTAGATACCGCCGGGCTATAGACTAACGGTCCTCAGACTCTGCCCTCCTCCCCGCCCCAGCGCCACCGGCCGTCAGCTGGATCCTGATTGGCCGATGGAGGAGGGAGGCGGAGGCAGAGGAACTCCTCAAATCTGGGGCCGGACTTCCCCACATCTGGGGCTGGACTTCCTCACATCTGGGGCCGGACTTCCTCACATCTGGGGCCGGACTTCCTCCCTCTGGGCTTTGGGCCCTCTTCGCATCCGCGGGTCTTCTGCTCGCTGCTGCCGCCGAGGGGTCAATTCCGAGTGAAGCGCAACACTGCTCCCGATCTCCTCGCCTAATCCAAAGCCTGGTTTTAACGCAAGCTGTCAGGAGGAACGGGTTTTCTTCACTATGAAATTTCCTCCTCCAGAACTCTTTCTATACGTCTTATCTGCTTTCTCCCACTGGCGGTCTCAGTCCAGTCCCCAGCTCACTAATAATAACGACGACATCAGCACAGGACTAGGTGGTTTACTAATTGCACTTTCGGCGTTTTCTCATTTGATACTTGAAAGAACCAGCCCCTTCCTTCCTCTCCCCCTGCGGTCCTTTCTCGCTGTATTTTTGCCCTCTCCACCTTTACAGCCCTCAGCTTACAACAGTCTGGCAGAGGAGCTGAAAGGGTGTTTCGCGGTCTTCCAGCTTCCAGAGCACTTCACCTCGTGTAGCTTCTTTTTTGGGCAGCTGACACTCATTTTATTGAACCTCTGGTACAGCTGATTATACCTCGTTGAAATACTCTCTTAACTTCCACAACATACTCCCCTCGTTTTTCCTACATATTGGCTGCTTCATGTCTGTCTCCTTTGCTAATCCCTTTCCCTCAACCAGACCTCTCAATGTGGGAGGACTTTCATTTTTCCTATCTTTTTCAATCTCATGGCTTAATTATCAGCTACATGCTGATTCTCAATATTATAACCCCAGCCTGCCCTTCTCCCCTGAACTCCAGACTGTATTGCCATTTGTCCTCCTGATGATATCTCCATACAGATGCCTAAATGGCATGTTTTTTAAAAAATTTATTTATTTATTTACTTAT